AAAAGCTACCTAAAAAATAACATATTGTAATGTTACAAATAATTTATTAAACATTAGGAAATATCTTGACGTTGCGCATGTAAAACTCCAATTAAATGCTATTGTAAAAAATATAAAAGTTTTAGGTATAATGTGCTGCCTAACAACCCCGCTGGCCTGTTAGGACAGCAACTGATTTTGTTAGGCAACACACCATACGAACACACATCTCGTTGCAAAACTTTACAGAATATTTTAATTTTATACTGAGCATTCAAGCATTTACTGAGGCATTTACTTACTTTGATCATTAAAAACTTGGAATCTGGAGCTTTCAACAGAAAATTAATTAGATCTTCTCGTTCAAAAATTTTGGATTTTTTTGGTTTATAACTTTTATTTTTTTGTTTGAGAAACGCTATTAACTTGTTGAATTTCAAAATATCAACGTTGTTTTTATATTTTAAGGTGCTTTTAAGCATAGAATAAATCGACCATAGGGTAGAAGCTTTGCAATTCTTCAATTCATCAGAGAAATATGCTAAAATAACGTTTTCCGAATATTTTGTCACCTTATTCTTCCTGCACCATTCTATAAATGCATTGTATTTTTGCTGATAAATATATGCAGATTTTTCTGGCAATAAATTTTCAGTGGCCTTTTGTGCACTGCATAAGATATCTGGGGGAGTATTATCAAATTCGCTATCGCTAGATAAATTTGAATCCATATCGATTATGACAGATATAATAAACTGCAAATAAAATTTGAATTTAAGTAAACAAACATTAAAAAGTAAAACTTTTTACCTTCTTGGCTTTAGAATCTAATTTTGAACTTAAGTATACTTTTGTCGTGTTCTGTTATAAGGTAGGTACTAATTAAAAGTTTAGAGATTGACAGTTCTTCTAATCCACACAGCCACGGCCAACTTACTTTTACCAAAATCGACATCCACTGTATGTTTACTTTTAATTAAATCGATGACATTTAGAGAAAATTATAATTAAAATAAACTGTTGATAATTTGTTGGACACTAAATAGATATAAGCAAAAATAATTTATTTATTTGTCTTAGAAGGAGATAGCAAAAAATGTTAATATAAAATAAAACGTTATATTTTGTTGTTATGTACAAATTTTGTCAAATTTTACTTTTTTCAACTAGTGCGTAAAGAGTTTTACTTTACGCACTAGTGAAAAAAGTACAAGTTTACATACTTCGTGGAGTGCGTAAAGTACGTACTTTACGCACGGTAGTAGAAAAAAGTTTTTTTTTTTTTTGATAGATTTAATACTAGAGGAGAATTTCCATAATGTTTAAATTTTTCGCGTCCGACTGGTTGAGAACTCCTGATTTAACCGTTATTTTTAATGATTTATTATCATTATTACTAATATTGAGAATTTACTTATAGATACCATCCATAATTTGCTTTTATCATTGACTAAATGCATACATAATTACTAACGATGATTTCATTCAAAACAAACATTCCGAAATAAAATTATTGATTTTTAATTACGTGAGGCAAAATTTGTTTTTCACTTCAGATTTTGTGTAACCATTATCAAACTCTAGAAGTAAAAAAGATAAATAAATAGGTTATATTGGGTCTCCAAAAACAAAAAATAATAATCACGAAAATGCGCTGGATTAGTGTAACGTCAGTGATCCAGTCATTTTAATATAAAAGTTTTGAGTTTTTTTATTCATCGTAAAATAGCTATTTATAAAACCAGTTACGAAATGTCTTATTTTATGTAACAAGTGAATATTTGCGGGACGAGCAGAGCAAGGTGCCGCAACATAAACGAGGTTTTTTGTTTTAAAATCAATAATCATTGTTATTGAACGTTTATATCAAACAAGGACACGTTAAGTTATAAAAATAGAATTTGGTTAACCTTACAACCTAGTAATGATGTTGTTTTGGTCCTTATTTACCTTTCTAAATCATCACATAATAATTAAAACACAATACACGACAAAATAACCCACTTTCTTGAATTCTAAATAACTTTAACAAGCAATATAAACAAACTACAATAAGTCGTTGAGAATAAATTAATATTATTTTCTATTTGTTAATAAAATAATGAAGTTAATCATACGCAACTAACAATACAAGAAAGTTGTAATATTGGTTGCCTAGATGTCAGTAATGTTTTGCCAAAATACAATTTTAAAAACAATCTAGTAAAAATTTTAAAAAATATTGTAGGGGAGACTGGGGTATAATGATCCAACGAGGTTAAATGATCCCAACGATTATAAACAAAACTATTAGTGCCATCTGTGGAGTAATAGATGAATTATAATCGAAAGACTAAATGCAGTGACCAACAACAATCTGTGAACAGCTCATTTTAGCGCCATTTACACGTGTATTGTTGTTTTTCTGATTTTCGATGTCATTTCGGGGCTTTTTCGCAGCATTGTTAAAGTGGTATTCAATTCGATAATTTAAAAAACAGAACAGGGTTCGAAATCAGGTAAGTTTAGGCTACTTGCCTTTGTGCTGCTTTGCGCAGCATTTTATTGTCTTTGTAGGTTAGGTTTAGTAGAATATTTGCTTTAGGGGTGAAACGATTATTTCATGAAAATCCGGGGATCATTTTACCCCATACATTTTTAGAAACCTAGCAATACGTTGATATGGATGTCAATATTTGTTCTGGTTATTTTCAAGATGCCACGTACGTACCACCGCAAAACCCGGCGTCAAAACTGGGACCCTGAGAACATGGCAAATGCCATAAACGATGTAAAAGAGAATGGTATGTCATATAAAACTGCTGCACAAACATTTCAAGTGCCTTTAATGTCCCTTAAGCGCAGAGTCAAAAATAATTGCCAAAGAAAATATAAAACGTTTAGGCAGCAAAACTTCGACATTTACTGCAGATCAGGAAAATGAACTTATACGCCATATTCTAGACTTTGAAACCAGAATGTATGGGCTTACAACAATTGATCTTCGGCGCTTGGCATTTTAGTTGGCTGAAAAAAATAAAATTACCCATAATTTTTCCCGTAAAAAATAGATGGCTGGATATGACTGGCTTTCCGGATTCCGAAAAAGGCACTCAGAAATAATGTTAAGAGTTCCAGAAGCAACTTTAGCAGCCCGCGTAAGGGGATTTAATAAAATTGTTGTTTCAAAGTTTTATGATCTTAAAAGTGTTTTGCAGCAGCACAAGTTTCCTGCCCACGGAGTTTTTAATGTCGACGAGACCTCTGTGTCAACAGTTCCCGACAAAAACTCAAAAACTTTTGTAAAAAGAGCCCGAAAGCAAGTTGCTCGTGTAACATCAGCCGAAAGGGGAGTTTCAACAACTGCTGTAATTTGCGCTTCTGATTTTGTTCCTCCTATGCTAATTTTTAGTAGGAAAAGAATGAAAACGGAGCTGATGGATGGCGCTCCACCTGGAACTATTTTCGGTTGCAATGATTCCGGCTGGATGAAATTAGAAATATTTGGCCAATGGTTTGATCACTTGTTGAATTTTACGAAGCCAACTAAAGAGAATCCCGTCTTAAATTAAGGGAAAGAGAGCAGCTCAAAAACGAAAGTCTGTTGGTACCGTTTTGCTCACGAGTACCTCATACAAAATCATGCTTGAAGAGGAGAATAGGAAAAAAATTGAACTAGAGGCTAAGAAAAAAAAAGAAAAACAAGTCAAAATCAGAAAGCACGAAAAAAGTTAAATTAAACAAGAAGACAAAAAAAGTATTAGAGGAAAGTGATGACTCAAGCAGTAACGGTGCATCTTTTGCTGCGAAAAATACGCTGCTTCTTTGACTGGCGAAGGATGGATCAGGTGCATTAAATGCCTAAAATGGGCTGGCTCATGATCAGTGTGTCGGGATCGATGAGAACGAGTGTGATTTCTGTTTGCATCAAGCTCAAACCTATCGAGTTAAGAAAAATATTAAGTTTTAAATTAATTAAGGTATTAAAAGTTGCTTAAGTTAATTTTGTTAAATAATGTTGAGCAAGTTTCTGTTTACTCCTTTAAGAGTTAAGAGTATTAAAAACGTTTTAATGCTTTGTATGTTATGTTTTATGCTTTTTTCTTATAAATAAACTAATGTATTGCATTTATTGTTATATTATTTATCGAAAGTGTAGTAATAAAATAATGTTTCGAAAATAGGATCATTTTGCCACTTGTTGGGGATCATTTTACTTCTAGCATTTGGATAAAATGATCCTTCTGCAGATATTAACAAACATCATTGTCATTCCAAAATGTGAAGAAAATCAACATCTTTGTAAATAATAAATTGTTGTCAAATGGAAACCAACCCTCTAGAAAAGACAAATAAATTTATATCCCTGTACTTGCAAAAATATAACGAAATTAGCCTTAAGGGGATCATTATACTCCAGTCTCCCCTATATAACATGTTACGAAATGCCGTTTTATGTAACTCGTTTATGTTGCGGGACCACACTCTACTCATCCCGCAAATATTCACTCGTTACACAAAATAAGGCATTTCGTAACTGGTTTCATAAATAGGTATTTCGTAACCGGTTTCATTATGTTTAACATTATGCAACTGGTTGCATAAACTAGATCATTTTCACACTTGCTGCGATTATAAAAATGTCACTTTATATGACAAAATTAGAAAAATAAATTAACATTAAATTTTTGTATTTGCCTGTCAATTAATTGAAGAAATAACACTTCTGAAATTGTTTCTTAGGTTATAAATATGTTTTAACTTCCTATAATGATCTACCTACAAAGAACTTTTACAGAATTATTTAACTAAAATGTTTTTCCATTTTAGGAATATATTTCAAGGTCTATAAATGAAATAACAGTTCAAAAACTAGATATTTAGTCTATAAACAATTTTGTTTGGCTCATTTTTTACATCATCACTAATGCACCATAATATGTTCTACCAGTTTTATGAAATTTGTTTTTATTTAAATCAATAAACATAAAAATGCATAAACCTTGAATTTAATCCTTTTCATTGATACCTTTTATTTACAGGTATCAATTGCCTGCCGATATAGGCGGCCCTGACGGTGAGCCAATCATGCCTGACAGGCAGATACGAATTATAGACAATCCACAACACACTTTACATCGTAAGTACAATAATAATATATTTTGAAAAAGTTAAACTCTTAGTTGTATTGTATATTTATTTAATTTAATAATTATTTTGTGGTATTTCCCAAACGTTTATCGTTTATACGTAGTCTGAAACCGTTTTCAATTTGTTTTTAAACATAAAAATTAGTTGTCGTTCACTGGCAGTCTGTTTAGTTTTTTTTTTATAGATCTCTTACGTCAAATAATTGTCACTTGTCACTTTATATGATTCAGAATCCAAAGTATTCATGGTGTCATTTAGTTTTGTGTTCAATTAAAAGTTATTTTAAGAAACAAAATGATTTTAGCATGTAAGTATCTTGATTTATTAATTTAAAATGTAGAAATACACACCTACATTTAAATTACCAATGGATGTTTAACCTTACATTTTTAACAACTTATCACACAATTTTAAATAGGTACCTATACAACCAATTACACTTCTTCAGCAAACTTTTTTTACATTAAAACTATTTTTATCATTATACATAAGTTACTAACGCTTAACAAGTTAAATTTAACACGTAATTCAACCTTGTTAATTCAATGGAAATTTATTTATTTTAATTTTTTAATTTATATTATAAAAACAATACATAGGAATTATTACTCAACATTCTGAACACCTCTGCAATTTACAGTTTATTACAAATAAATTTCTAAACTTGTGCCTAGAGCCATCTAGCGTTGAAGAGAGGAAGACACGGCTAGAAATATACATGATTGATGCAGAATGTAAAAGAATACTTTCCTTTTTAATCGTATAGGTACTTCAAAAGTTATCCTAGAGATGGCGTTGCACACTCGGACATAATTTAAAGTAAACTGTAATGTTTTACCTTATGTAATATAGATGGCGATGCGATTACGTTGTTAAATGTTAAAATAGGAACGAAATTTGATCCTTTTATAAGTTAGATATAAAATAATCAGGACTTTTTAATAATTGTTATTAATAAATAATGCGTTTAATGCATAATGCCACAGTTTTTTTCACAATTTAGAAAATGGAAATATATCTAATATTTGGCTCTAATTATGTTTAATCATAGGTATATCTTTAATAAACATCATGATATTTATAAAACGTAATAATCATAAAAACCTTATAATAATACATGACTTTGCCGAGATGTGTTTTAAGTGTTAAAAAAGAGTTTTGGGACAAACAGATAGTTTTTATTATAGTTAGATATGTTTTTGTACAAATCGAGCGCGTGTTATAATTAAGGTGTTCAATCGAATTATTAAATAAATAAGTTATGATAAATGAATCGTTTGAATTTGACTCTTGTAAGTATGTTTTTATTAAATATAATTTTATTCTTTAATAGTAGGAAACAAATTATGTGGTGACAATATCTGCCATTTGTTATTTGAATTTAGTAAAATTTTAAAATTTATTGACAAAAAAAATAAATTTAAAATTTATAACTTTGATTTAAGCTATCCGAAACGGCCTCTAGTGGAATATTTAATAAGTTCTGTTGGTAATATAGCTTAAAGCTGGATTTATTATAAACTACGTTCAGTTGGCGTTTAATTCACGCTCAGTTCGAGTTGGTGAGTTCGCGCTGGATCCAATTTATAAAGTAGTTGGTCGTTCGTTCGTCGCTGCGAATTTTGACATTTGATTTGACAAGACATAACCACAAATTCCACAAAATAAATTGATGTTATTTTATTTTAATCATATTTGTAGATGGCGTTGGTTATAAAATAATTATAAATCCGTTATAATTTCGTATCCAAAACAAACCTACTTTGTCATTTTAGAATCACGTTGACGCATGCGTGGTCAAATAACCAGATACGTGTTTTTTAATTGGATCGACGTTCTTAGCGTTCATAGACAAACTAATTGTCAGTATTTTGAGATTAAATATGCATTGAAATGTGTTATTTTTGTGTAGAATCGATAAATAATAGCATTATTATTTTTATTTGGTCCACATTTTAAAAAAAATTAATTTTAATCAAACTATATGAAACTAATTTAATTACCAGTATTAAACTAAAATTCTAGAAGTGGCCATGGAGGTGAGGCTAGAGCGTTTGCCTGCCACGCGAAAGTCCTGGGTCAGAATCTGAGCTGGGGACTACTTTTTTTTATTTTATTATATAAATTAGTAAAATTCATAAATTATTCTAAAATTATTTATTTTGTCATAATAACCTATTTTTTTTTTTAATTTGTCGATTTTCTACAACCACAAATAATACGCTGTATTGTCCATATCCACTCTTGTTGAACATACTAGTATTTTTTGTACTATAGGCATTAAATTAGTTTATAAATTGTGTATGTGTTGCTCTTTACATGTGTCTATGATAAGATTATGTAATGCGTCAGCATTAGTCTTCTAATTATTTTGAAATTTAATATGACTGAAATGTATATCATTACATATTTTTGCACAAAATACTAAAATTAATAAAAACATAGTAGTATGTGTAACAAGATTGGATATGATGGTCATAGTACTGAGTGTAATACCGTACAATCCATTTGAGTTGTACAGTATATTTTTTTCTAGGACCCATTAACGAAAGTCTACAATATTTTTAAAATTAATTTGGATATTATTTAAATAAAATATAATTGATTAACATAAAAATTTAAAATTATTAATTGAAATAAAATAAATCTAAAAAAAAAAAAGCAAAAAAAATGGCCTCAAAAAAATTTGAAACTTTTCTTTCTTTAACTCTCAGCTTTTGCAATTTTTCTTTGGTTTGTTTTGACTTTGGGGACATGAGGGTAGTATTTTTCATAATTTCGTAGGGGAATTAGGATTTTTTATTTTCATGTTTCCAAAATTGCATTTCAGTTTTTCATATCTCAACCGATTTTTCTCATTTCACTTTCGTTTCATTTATAATTTAATTGGTTTTAAATAGTTTTAATTTATATTATTTATCGATTATTCACAAGAATCACTCATTTTAGTCACAATAACTAAAAATATACTGACAATTTAACAGAATTGTTACTTATTTAAAATTATAAAAAATTATAGTAGGTAAACCAGTCATCAAATATAGACTGATGGGTCAGTTGCGTAGCTTGACACAGGGGGGCTCGGTGCAAGATATGTTTCGGAACCCCCGAGGTCAAAAAAAAAAAATAATAAATCAAAAATAACTATCATAAAAACTGAAAATAATAATAATAGGAACATATTTGCAAGTTTAATAAAAATTAAAAATAAATAGTAAAATGAAATCAGGGTGCTGCTTCGAATTTCATGGCTGCATTTCATATCCGGACAGTAGTCTTACTAGAATGGATGGATGGATTATGACATTATATCCGTTCAGTAGACTGATATTACCTACTTTTTCTTTTTTTGTAGGCTGTGGGCTGTGCATAAAATAGTATACATGAGGGTGTACAAAAAATTAATTTTTGTATAACTGCCATTAAAACTGACACTTTTAGTGGCAGTATTTATAACGTTCTGGAAATTTTATAATACATTCTTTCAAAAAATAACTAAACAAAATGAAAGTACTCTTAAAAATTTTTTCTAGTTTAGAATTAAAAACTGTCAACTTGCTAACTAAAAGGTCAAGACCATTAATAAGAATGAGGAAGCATTTACATAAACTATAACCCTAGGTTAGATTGATAAGTGTGAGTAATTATTTAAATGTTTCGAAACACCTAAAGGTTAGAGAATACCAACATTTGAATTTGACACTGCGGCACATTGTCACATTTCCAATTTTGTTTCAGTGCGCTAATTTTTATCTGTATACAGATAAGGAAAGTATAGGAATCATGATTTTTTTCTACCTCAAGTTTTCGTTTTGGGGTCCCCTGAATCCGTTTTGACTATTTTCGCGATGTTTGCGTGTGGGTGTGTGTGTGCGTGGTGTGTGTGCGTGGTGTGTGCGTGTGTGTGTGCGTGGTGTGTGCGTGTGTGTGTGCGTGGTGTGTGCGTGGTGTGTGCGTGTGTGTGTGTGCGTGTGTGTGTGCGTGGTGTGTGCGTGTGTGTGTGCGTGGTGTGTGCGTGTGTGTGCGTGTGTGTGCGTAGTGTGTGCGTGTGTGCGCGTGTGTGTGTGGTGTGCGCGCGTGTGTGGTGTGCGTGTGTGTGCGCGTGTGTGTGTGTGTGTGTGTGTGTGTGGTGTGCGTGTGTGTGTGCGCGTGTGTGTGCGCGTGTGTGTGCGCGTGTGTGTGCGCGTGTGTGTGCGTGTGTGCGTGTGTGCGTGTGTGTATGTGTGTGTATGTGTGTGTATGTGTGTGTATGTGTATGTGTATGTGTGTGTGTATGTGTATGTGTGTGTGTATGTGTGTGTATGTGAATGTGTGTGTATGTGAATGTGTGTGTATGTATGTGTGTGTGTGTGTGTGTGTGTGTGTGTGTGTGTGTGTGTGTGTGTGTGTGTGTGTGTGTGTGTGTGTGTGTGTGTGTGTGTGTGTGTGTGTGTGTGTGTGTGTGTGTGTGTGTGTGTGTGTGTGTGTGTGTGTGTGTGTGTGTGTGTGTGTGTGTGTGTGTGTGTGTGTGTGTGTGTGTGTGTGTGTGTGTGTGTGTGTGTGTGTGTGTGTGTGTGTGTGTGTGTGTGTGTGTGTGTGTGTGTGTGTGTGTGTGTGTGTGTGTGTGTGTGTGTGTGTGTGTGTGTGTGTGTGTGTGTGTGTGTGTGTGTGTGTGTGTGTGTGTGTGTGTGTGTGTGTGTGTGTGTGTGTGTGTGTGTGTGTGTGTGTGTGTGTGTGTGTGTGTGTGTGTGTGTGTGTGTGTGTGTGTGTGTGTGTGTGTGTGTGTGTGTGTGTGTGTGTGTGTGTGTGTGTGTGTGTGTGTGTGTGTGTGTGTGTGTGTGTGTGTGTGTGTGTGTGTGTGTGTGTGTGTGTGTGTGTGTGTGTGTGTGTGTGTGTGTGTGTGTGTGTGTGTGTGTGTGTGTGTGTGTGTGTGTGTGTGTGTGTGTGTGTGTGTGTGTGTGTGTGTGTGTGTGTGTGTGTGTGTGTGTGTGTGTGTGTGTGTGTGTGTGT